GTGTTTGAAGCGAGTCGGAAAGTCCTGTCGGGCAGACGATAGACTGGCCGGTTGCACGCTGGATCGCCACGACGGACTGTGGGATCTGGGTGAACCGTGTCGACTTTACAACAGCGAGGTGACGATCGCAGTGGTGGGAGTTAGCACGCGACGACCGGGATCGTCGGTGCGGGTATGAGGATCGATGTTGAGTTGATTGGCCCGGGGCCATATTGGAATTAACGGCGAATGCGCATTTGGTGCGGATTGTTATCTTTGGCGTGAATGTATAGCGGTGACGCCGAACTTTTCTCTTCCTGGATCTTGTCATCTTCTATTTTGGACTTCCTTTCTCTCGACTCTCTCTCTCTCTCTCTTTTTCTTTTTTTTTTGAATGATGATGCGTCTGAATGATTGTCCCTCTCTTGAGTAGAAATAAGTTGGTATCCTGCGTCTGTGTGAAAGACTTCTTTCGGAACTCTTCCATTAGTTCCCTGGGTAATCCTCCTACGCAAGGACCCCGTCTACTTCTCTTGTGAACGATGGATGCGTGTGTATTGTACAATGCGATCCATCTTTTTCTTGTGCATGTCTCATTTTCGCACCTTCCACAGTGAATGCATGTATAGAGATGCGTGACTTTTTCGGATTGATTAGACGAGTGTCGTCGGGATTTTGTTCGAGAATGCAAGAGTGTTTAGATCTGTAGCTCTGTTTGCACTACGCATGCCATCTGCCTTATACTGCACGACATCAGCAACCGAGCCACGAGGCGGCCCTGAGAAACAAGGTGCCCAGGGACCAACGTTGTGTTGAACTGATCGGACCCGTAGCCATATGCGTGATCAAGCTGATCTGTGTTTGCTCTCTCTCTCTCTTGTGTCAAAAAGATTGATTGGGGGATGCGCGAATTTTTTTTGTTCTTAATGACGTCTCATGATATTTTGTGATTGATTGACATGTGGACTGACAAGTACCCTTCGATTGGGCGCCAACCTCCCGTATCTCCCATCCCAACGCGACCTTTTCCTTACAGTGAGGAAAGGACACGTGTATGTGAGTGGGAAGTACGAGAAGTCGTTGCACAAATCGGCGGGCAGTATTACTTCCCTCCGGCCAACCGCTGTTCTGGGTTCGTAGAAGCCGGGTTTGTTATTATCGATACGCACTTCCCACCTTACTCGGTATTGTCGCCATTCCGTGGACGGCAGTAGAACCCTACTGGCCGCGCACTCTATGCACCGAATGTCAGTGTTTTGAGCGCTACGAGTCCAGGGGTTTCCACTACCGTGTGCGGAGTGAAGACGAGCATAAAGAAAGAGCCACGCGACTGAGACCCTCGACGTCAGACTTGGAACTAACCAGCGAACGACGACGGGATTTGATACGAAAACGAGACACGCGAAGCGTGCCCAAGCCTTTCTGTTCTAAACGACGGGCTGTAGCCCGGTGGGAGGCACGACAATACTTTTTAGATTGAATTTGGGTCCTTCTCTCTCTTTCCCGCCTTGCCCGCACGCACATTCCGTGACGCGCGAAACGATCAACTTGCTCCATTGGACCAACGCAAGGGATTTCAGTTCCGTCTGTGTCCCCACACTCAATTTCCAAAAATCCTTGGCACACCCCATCTTGCTGTTTTTCTGGGCCTCTTTTCCGCACAACTAACACTCCAAACGGAAGACAACACAGGGCGTGAGGTTGGTATCGGAGCCGACACATGTCGGTTCTGATGATAGTAAGTCGAACTGGCAGGAGGTAGGAGAGACCCTCAACTAGCTCGTCGAGATCGCCGCGTAACCAGGTCTCAGTCTAGTGTGGCTGCATCAGCAATACCAATGGTGGACGGTACTAGGGTGATCGCTAGCATCCCTGCCCCTTTTCCCTTCTTCCCTAACCATACCCATCCCAAGGCTGGCTGGAAGCTGTCGAAGCTCAAAACTACAGCGCAACCGATCTTCCCCGTGTTCTGATATTACTACTTCGCAACACACCACATGACTGGTTTAGAAAACATATGTGGGTAGATTGGGATACTTTCAATCGAGCATTTTTGGCTCGATTCGATACAGTTAGTGAAGATGCCGCCTGGTATATACTCAAAAATCGACCACAAGGACCAGGGGAATTATTGCCCGATTTCGTCGATCGATTTCAAACCTCGTTGGATAAATATAGGCGAGACGAAAATTCCACTCGAGACTTGTTTATTGATCACCTTCGAAGTCCGACCTTGAAAGGGAAACTGCAGAAAAAGGTTCCGCCGAAAACAACCCAGTTATCGGTTATCATCACTAAAGCGTTGGAGCTAGACTTGGCTGATACAAAAAAATATATCAGCCAGGGAGACGAGGATATTACAGATACCATACGGGATGTAACGACCAAAAGGCGATCATGGCTACAAGCAGTCGAACGGTTTTATCCCCGCCCCGATCGTGACCTTCCCGGCGGAATCGTCTCCGATATCCCGACTGCTTCTCCTCCCTCTCCCCCGATGAATCAATCAATCGCAACCGTTAGAAGCAGAACCCCATCCGAACCCCCCTCGCCAGCCATAACCAATTTGCATCTTGCCCAGATGATCCATATGGCCACTACTAAGCAGTCCGAATGGATGAGTAACCTGATCCAAATGCAGGCGGCTCATATGGAGCGGATGGAACAGATAATGAGCAAGCTCATTAAGCCTAACCCAACTCCTGCTCGGCCTGCCCCTGCATCGTTTCCACTCTTACCTGCCCCACCTGCTCCAGGGTTCGCGCCTCAGTTCCCTCATCTAGCTAATCCAGCAGGGAAGATCGAATGCTTTAACTGCAATCAGCCCGGGCATTTCGCCCCGTTGCCCATAATCAGGGACGAGTGGCCGCTCTGATGGATACGGATCAAGGAAGCGAACTTGTGGCATATGCCACAGAACAGCCCTCCACTTCGACGGCAACGACATCGACATCGGGAGCTTCTTCCCCCGACGCTGCTGACGTGATCGATCCTCTCGAGTATCTCCATCTCGCAGGCATGATCGGAGCGATCCGATCGGTCCCAGATGATCTCGAGTGGGTCGATCGCGAATCCAATCCAGGACCGCAGTTTCGGGCAGGAGACATTGACGTACTGAGAATGCTCAAGCAACTAGACATTCGTGTGCCCATCCCAGTGGGACATCTGCCCACCATATCTGAAGTGGCGAACGATAAGCTTCTATAACAATGCCAGAAAAATCAAAAGCGTTTCACCTATCAACGCATGCAACGAATGTTGAAGAAGAAAGAAGAAAGCGAGGAAGTCGTACCCCCTGAGCCTGACACGAAAGAGCCGGAATCTGAAGCCGCACGAATAGCAGCGGTCTCTTTAGCGAAAAAAGATCACTTCGTACGAGCTCGGTCGGTACTATGGAAAAGTGCGGAATGTGACTGTGAAGTATGGGGAAAACCGTTTAATGCCCTTATTGACAGAGGGTCTTCTGCCGTGACCATATCATTGGATATTGTCAAAAAGACGGGACGACTAGGATCCATTCTTCCTCAATCTGGCAAAGACAAYTATGTCTCTGCCGACGAGGAAGCAATGAACATCGTAGGCATTATCGAGAATGTGGCCGTAAAAGTTGGACGAGTACACGTCCTTGTTAAGGCGCTCGTAATAGATGTACGTTCTTATTCTGTGTTGTTGGGATTACCTTGGGCAATAGCGGTGGGCGCACGTCTGCATTTCGATTCGAAACAATTGGTGCTCATACAAACTGGGGGAAAGCCTCAGGCTGTTCCTCTGCGGGTTTCCACCCGAACGATAAAATGGGTTCCTAACTCACCCCAAATAGGGATGATTTGATATATTGATCCCGAGGAATACTCGCCCTCGTGCCTCGGGGACACAATCAGGGAACAAGAACATGACGAAGAGATGCCTAGCGAAGAAAAATGAAAGCATCTGGTCGAACTTTTCGAACATGAAACCCCCGAAGAATTTCAGGTGTGTTCCGACACCGCCCGAAGCTTCCACATAGATTCCGAAGACAGTGCATTCACGCCTCTAACAACCCAGGTCAGTCCTTCAGTCCTTCTCGGGGAACCCATATTACAAGTTTCCGATCTGGCTGATGATTTGGAACCCCCTCGCACATTGTACGAGGGAGCTCTCTCCTTACGAACGCATTATCATCAAACGAAACAGTATTTAGACGTTTCTGTTTTTCCACCTCGATCGTTACTTACGACAGGAGCTACCATTGCCTTGATTAAACAAGACGCGGAAGCGCCGGTAAATGATGTACCTAATCTGATGCAAGAAATGACGGATCTAACAGGACTAACTGTGGTACCGACCTCGGTTGGTTCAGAAACTGACGCTGAAACTAAAGAAACAGAAATGATCAGCCCTGCTGAGTCCCAGATGGTGACAACTGTCTTCTCTGTGCGCACAAGTAGTTCCGTTTTCTCTAGTGTCAATAAGTGGTGGGAGCGGCCGGTTGATTGGGTCGATATCCCCCTTAAGATGTCCAGGGAATCAACGATTGCCCTCCCGAGTCACGTTCCCGCCAAACTACGAAAGTCGTTAATTCGTGTGTTAAATGGCTACTCAGAAGTCCTGAGCGTGCATGATAATGATATCGGCTTAACTAATGTAACTGAGCATGCCATCCTCACAGGAGATCATCCGCCTATTAGCTGCGCTCTCTATCGATACTCGCCAGCTCAAAGATCGGCCGCCTTTCAGCGAATTAAGGAGTTCGAAGCTAATGGATGGATCGAACCTGCTATAGGTCCATGGTCTTTCCCTGTAGTGATCATACCTAAGAAGGCTGGAGGGATTCGCATTTGCATTGATCATCCAAAGTTGAATGACATCACGATCAAAGATGTGTATCCCCTCCCTCGGATTGACGAGTTGTTAGATGCGATTGGGAACGCTCGATTTTTCAGCAAGTTTGATGTTCGCCATGGGTTTCATCATCTCCTTGTTCGTGAGGAAGATCGTCCGAAAATCGCGTTTGTGCTTTTCGAAGGAACGTGGCGATGGATTCGATGCCCGATGAGAATCTGCAACGCCCCTGCGACTTTTCAGCGGGCCATGAACATGGCTTTTCAGAATTTCATGCGGAAGACTCGCCTAGCGCAACGCATCATCAACTACTGCGTGATTGTGTACATGGATGACATCTTGGTGTATTCGAGCTCCTACGAGGGACACGTGCAGCACATTGAATGGGCACTGCCTGCATTACGAGATGCAGGTTTCAAGGTGGCGCTTGAGAAGTGTCAGTTTTTTCTCACCACCATTTCTTTCCTGGGGCACGTGGTGACAGACAAGGCACTCCAACCGGAGCCGCAGAAGGTGGCAGCTGTCAGGGACGCGCCAGTGCCTACCACTATCACGCAAGTTCGCGCCTTTGTGGGCCTAGCCTCGTATTACCGAAGATTTATCAAGGGCTTCGCGGCGATTGCGGGACCCCTCACGAATCTCCTGCGCAAGGATCAGCCGTTGATCTGGACGCCGGAGTGCGATCAAGTGTTTTCCAAACTCAAGGCTGCTCTCATTTCGGCTCCGGTCCTTATAAGACTGGATCCCGAAAAACCTTTTGTTCTCATTACCGACTGGCAGCCAGAGGCGATCTCGGCGATCCTTGCCCAGGTGGGACCGAGCGGACTCGAGAGTGTAGTGGAGTATGCGTCTAAATCAGTGCCCGCCTGCAAGCGCAATTACGCCGCTCCGACGGGTGAATGCTATGCGACTCTCTGGGGAATCAGTCACTTCCGTGCCTACCTGTACGGGCGAAAATTCACCCTGGTGACTGATTATGAGCCCCTGGTGGCCCTAAAGAAGTCGAAGGATTACTCGGGCATGATCGGGCGATGGGCAACGGTGCTGCAGAGCATGGACTTTGACATTCGTCATCGAAAGCACGAGAGACACGAAAATGCGGACGGACTGACACGACTGCATCGGCCTGAGAAAGTTCCGAGGAATGAGGAGGTGATTCCGTGGAACGGCCCCGAGCAGAAGATTGGACCTCGGTACGGCCAAGTGGAGATTTTGTCAAAGCAGTAAGTGACACGAGGATTAACTTGCCTGCTCTGCTCTCTCCACAATTCAGTCCCGTCTCTCCCCTTCTGTCATCATGACTACCTCGTCTGCCTCCACAACCCCTTCTTCTCCTACTAAATCTGGCCCTCTTACTTCCTCAGCTTTCTTCAACACCCTCCCCGATAAATTCTGCTATTTTTGCACCTGTATTGCACGGGTTTACGGGGTCGACTGTCATCCCTTCGAGACCGGATTTGTCGATTGGGTAGAATGTGCCACGTGTGTCAACCGTGCGCACGGGGCCTGCGTTATCGGACGAGTAGCAAGGAATGGAGGTGCCCCCTGTGTAGAACGAACAAGCTCCCCACGGAGGTTCGATTCGAGGCCGCCCGTACGGACGGTACTGAATACGATGAAAAATACCGACGGGCGGAAATCTGGACGGATAAAATTTTATTGGCAAAATTAGCGGGATTATCATTGGGCCATTTCACCAAACACGACAGACGTAGGGCAACTGAGAGATCTCGGGACTATCGATGGATCAACTGTCATTTGGAAAAGCGTAAAACTGACGGATCAGGTTCGTAGTTGACAGTTCCCCATCCCTTTCAGAGATACGATTGGATCCGATCTGCTCATGAGGAACAGGCCGCTCATTTCGTGATGCGTGTCACGGAGGCAACTGTAGACCAGAATCGATGGTTCTGGTCCAATATACGAGGTGATGTCAAATACATTGTCGCTAACTGTTCGGTCTGTGTCGCTGATCGTGCCCCTATACGGGGACCAAACACAATCGTACCAACGGAAGTAGGGCGTCCTTTTCAGCGAGTCGGTATGGATACGACAGACATTGACGTGCCACCTGGCCCAAACCGCTGTGAATATTCTATCCTGTTGGTTTTAATTGACCATTTTTCCAAATACATCGAAGTCTATCCCAGTATGACCCGAAAGGCCGCCGAAATAGCCACGTACATCGAACGATTCCTCTACACCCATCTAGATACAAAAGAAATTCTAACCGACAATGGGTCTGAATTTAAAGGTGAGGTAGAAGAACTGCTTGCGCGAAGGGGCGTCACGCTCCGAAATACGGCACCCCACGTGTCCCAGTCGAACGGGTTGGCCGAGAATGCCAACCGTATGATTAAAACCGCCCTTCGCAGGAACTTAGCGGCACACGACACGCGTCCGTGGCCCGAGATCGTATATCAAATTGTCGACATCCACCGGGCCACCCCTCACGAGTTTACGGGGTTCACCCCCTTTCAGCTTCGAACTAATAGCCTTCCCTGTGTCGATTACCGGGGTAACTCGGAAATCGCCGAAGCAGGGGGTAGAGACACGCGTGCAGCCCTCAAGGCCAAGGCCAAAAGGTACACCGATTTGATGGAACGGGCCGTCCCGAAGCTAGCCCGAAAAAGGCAAAGGATGACTGAGATGGCCCACGGTAGACAGGTCCGTAGCTACGAGGCCCGGAACGGAAATGCTGGGCCCCAGTACCAGTATAAATTGGGGGACCTAGTGCAGGTACGTAAATGTGCACGTGACCGAAAACTCGCTCCCAAGTTCTCTGACTGTTTTCGCGTTGTCGATCTCGGACCCAACGGCGCTAACACGGTGCGCATCGCGCCTGAGGCTAGCGCCAGCAATAACTCCGTCCCCATCGTCAGACATACCTCCTACCTCCGTCTCCTTCCTCCCTCCGATTTTCCTCCCTCTTCTTCCTCAGAAAGCGAGGATAACGACAACGATCTAACCCTCTCTCCTCTTTCTCCCTTTTGTCCCTCATCCTCCTCTCCGACCTCCCCATGAGTTTCATCACGGAGCGGGTTCTCGATGCACAACTGCGACAGCCACGTGGCCACATCTCAGAGATCCGGTAAGTTTGTCACCCTCGGCTCAACACGGATCTCCGCCGTTTGATGGGATTCTTCTGCGACGAAGGTATCTGTGCCGCCGCCGTGTTTCGGATAGAAGGAAGCCCTCACGCGATAGTGTTCGCGGAGGTTACTGCAGTTCATCGACGAGCGGGTCCCAGAACAAGCCATGTCACCACAGTGGCGGGATTCACCGGCGGCCTCAGCTCGGTCAATCCGCTGCGGCATACCGCGATCTTGGCCTCGCTGCGAGAGTGGACGGAGCAAGTGTCCAACGTGTGGCCACACGTCCTCACCCGGGAGGGGAATAACATCATCCCGATCTCTGCATCGGATCTTAACGATATTCGCCAATCACCGCGCGAGCGGCCAGTTGCGATCCTGACCATCGTCCCCTTCCCCCGTCCCCAACGAACCACGCTACTCGTCTCTCTCCTCTCTCTATTTTTGGTCTCCCCTCTCTCTTCCCCACCTTCTGGCAATCCGATCTTCACCCTTCTCTTTCCTTCTCGTTCGAGCCTCTTCCAGTCCCTCGTATCATTCCTGGACACTGGCGATTGTGGCGCGAAACTTTTGAGGAGCTATTCTTTTGCTTGGCCAGAGTACAAGTGAAGTGGACGGGTACTATCGAGCACCCCACGTGGATCAAGAATCCGGAGTTGCTGATCATACAGGGTTGGAGGACTAACGCGGAAGGAGATCTTATTGGATTCCTCTTTGGATCGGTACGACCGGGTCGCCGTCAGTTGATTGCACAGGAGCTCATTGCACCGATCGTGCAATTGGCGGACGATCTCTCGCCCGGCATCTACTTTCAAAGCGACAACAGTCCTGCTCCGTACATTTTCGAGCGATCCCTGGATCCGTACCTTCAGTGGACTTCGTGCCTGGAGGAACCTAGGGACGAGGATACCCTACCATCGCGGCAGGAGTATCTGAAGCCGTACGAGATCATCCCTTACGCCTTCTATCCGAGGGCAGAGGAAGTGGTGATCAACGACAATGACGAAGAAGAAGACAACAACGAGGAAACAACGGAGGAAGGAAGCTATAGTGAACATAGCGAGGGCGAGCTGAGTGAGGAGGAAAAAGGAACCGGATCCGAGTGGGAAGCCCCACTGGAGGAAGCGACGCGTACGGGAACGGAGGCGAAAGATCCGGAAGCGGCGCGAAGGCGCTAAGAGATTGCCTCCGGAAAGCGTCATCTGGAGTTCGCTAGCGAGGCTAGCCTGCGCATCGGTAGCGGTCCAACCAGGGATCCAGAGCCGCCGAGGCCCGAAGATGGCGACCCTGCAGCCGCCATCTCAAGCACGTGACGGAGACGGCGTCGATCCCCCTCCTCCTCCAGCCCCACCCGTCCCCCAGTTCGCCCACGTACCAATGCCGACGATAGGCCTTCGACCTCGGACGCTGCCCCGCCGACCCCTTGATTTTCTCACCCTCGAGCAGATCCGTACCCCCGTCACCTTCCCTTCCCATCCTTTCCATCCCCATCTCTTCCGCGACTTCTATTCTATCCGTCTACTCGCTACCGTCCACCCCCACGCCTCCCTTCAATCCGCTGCCCCCACAAACTGCTGGCACCTCCTGCTGTTCAGCGCTGCCTGGAAGCGATCCAACGTCGTAGAAGTCTACTGCGTTGCCACGGGGACAATCCCCGCCTGTCACCACTTCGAGATCGTTCGAGCGACGCTTTTTCATACCCTCTCCTCTTTCTATCGCGATTACCTCGCTTCCCTCCCTCGCAGTGGTGATCATTTCCCCCGCTTCCACCGGATCATCCGATATGAGGAGCTCCCGGCGACGATGAAAGGGATGCATCGCTTCCTACCCCC